GAGAGGGCAGGGACCCTGTTGCTTAGAGAGAAGCCATTGAGAAGGTGAGATGGATGAGAAAAACCTGGAAGTGCTTGGAGACAGGAGTCATGGGTACCTCTGACAGCCAATAAAGGCTGGGCTGAAATATCATCCAAGGAAAGAAAGACCCCCAGATCCCTTGAGAAGCCACCTTGGGGAAGGGATGGCCCCTTCCTCTCTGACAGATGGGGAGATGTATTTTCTGGAGACAGTGAAGCAGGGAAATTCTGTGCTCAGTGACCCCAGGCATAGCTGAGGGAGGGAGGGGAAGCAACGTGCCAAACTGAAAACAAAAGAATTTTTTTAAAAAAAGCAAATCACACTTAAACATCTTAACCCTATTTCCCTTGCTCAGTTCACAAACCATCTAATCAGGTTTCAATCTCCTCAACAGGAGGGTGCATGGTTCTCCTTTGAAGAAACTGACCAGCCCAAGAAAGAAGACATAGTCAGTGATGTATGAAGGCCCCTACAATAAAGTTGTGCTTTGGAAGCATGCAGAACTTTCAATCAGCCTCTTAGTGTCTCATTATTAAATATAAACAACCCAAAATCAGACATTTGAAGAAATTCAGAGACTATAACAAATGGGGGTGGGAAGAAGCTCAGCACTAATGAAGAGAATGAAGTGTGCAAAAGAATGCTCAAGAACTAAAAATTAATATACTCCAAGAGTTCACCAAAATCTTACATATTTTACAAAATAAAAAGGAATAGAACACTAAATAACCTGACTAGCAAGGTCAAGAAACTCTCCCAGATAGTAGAACAAAATGCAGAGATGAAAAATAAATAATAAAATTATAGAATGTTTTCAGGAGATTGTGACAGCTAGCTTCACAAAAAGCATGACAAAAACCAGTGTGGAAGAAAATAATTGAAGAATACAAGAAAGTAGACTAGAACTTTACAGCTTGAATTTTCAGACTGAAAGGGTCTACAGAGTTCCCAGCACAATTGCTGATAAGAACTTAGTTAAAGCAAGTCATGATGAAATGTAAAAATACTAGGGATAAAAATGATGATAATAGGCTCCAGGAGGAAAAAAAAAAAAGCAGTCTATATTTAAAGAATTGACAGAGTGCCATCAAGTTCTCAAGCAGCAACGGGCATACAGACAATTAAGATCTGTCTTATAAAACACTGAGGAAATAGGACTTCCATCTTGGAATTTTATACCTAACCCAACTAGCAGTCGAGGGTGGAATATACATACATAACTTTAGGCAAGGTACAGCAGGTACACATTTCAACCTTCTTTCTTATTCACGGAACTCTTTGTTTGAAATATCAATGTGTACAGCTAAAAATATGTACTTACCTATTTTCCCACTCAGTTAGCCATAGCCCTGTGTCATAGACTTGACAAAGAGAAAATCTGCTACAAATGTTTCTGAAAGTATTCTTATTTTCCTGATAAAAGAAATTTGGCTGGCTCTGCTTTTTGCCTCTTCTGCCCTGTTACTGCTTAGAATTCAGATATAATGCTCAGAGGTAGAGCAGCTATCATGAGACTCTGAAGCAGGAGTCAAAAATCAACATGTAGGGATGCCAGTTACAAACAAAAGTAAAAGCTTGGGTCCCAGGTAGTCTCGCAGACCCACTGTACCAGCCACTACACTGCTTACTTCAAAAATGTATATCAGGGTGCCTGGGTGGCTCAGCCGGTTAAGCATCCAACTTCAGCTCAGGTCATGATCTCACGGTTTGTGAGTTCCAGCCCTGCATTGGGCTCTATGCCGACAGCATAGAGCCTGGAGCCTGTTTCAGATTCCATGTCGCCCTCTCTCTTTCTTCTCTCCCTCCCTTGCTCATACTCTGTCTCTCTCTCTTTCTCTCTCAAAAATAAGTATTTTTAAAAATTTAAAATAAGTCATAAAAAGAAAAAAAACAGAAAAAATTCTATAATTGGGTTTTCTATTATTTGCTGCTGAAAATATTCCTAACAAGTTATCAAATGGTTTTGCCTCCCAATACCTTTCCTCAAAAAGTTACTAGAAGGTGTGCTCCACAAAAATAAGGAATAAACTGAGAAAGAAAAAGCTATGGTGCTCAGAAAACAGGTGACCCAACAGAGGAAGGATGCAGCAGGAAATGCAAGTATCTTAGTAATCTCAGCAGTCCTGAGACAACAGCTGTACCACATGCCTAAAAGTAACAGTTCATATCAGAAGAATAAAGGGCTCCAGGAGAGAGAACATCAAAAAAATAAATAATGGATAGATGGCCTGATGTGTTTGATCATGTTGCAAGGAATTTAATAGTTCTCCCAGAAAGTTTGGGAGGAAGAGATTGGTACACCAGAAATAAAGCAAAAACAGGTTTTTAAAAAAAATGCAATTATTAACTCTAGGAAAAACAAAAAGTTGCAAGAGTTATGAAATGCAGTCACAGGACACTGTGTAGCTCAACTGTGAACAATATCTGCAAAGTCTTCATAGTGCAAACACTAAATTTGGTTTTTTAAAAAGTATGGCAACACTATACTGGAAAGTTGGAAAGAAGAGAAGCCAGTGTGGCTGGAGTAGAATGAATAAGGGGCGGGGGGCGGGGGTACGGTAAGAAAGGACATCACAGAGGAAAACAGGGATTAGGTTATCCAGAGGTTTGAATTTTCTTTCCTAAGATCTGTAGAAAGCCACTGGAGAGTTTTAAACAGGAAACCAGCAGGATCCAACTCATGATTGAAAATGATGACTTTGGCCGTAGCACTGGGAAGAATACACTGTGCAGGGGCAGGAAGGAGCGCCAGCAGACCAGTTAGGAGGCTACTCTAGCAGGGATAAGAGCTCCTGCAGAAGAGAGAAAGAGGAAGGGAAAAAAAGGAGGGCTGGGTTGGGGAAGGCACACTTAGGGAGGGAAGAGGGGAGATGGAAATACATGTTGGAGGTTGGTGGATTTTAGTGAGAAAGGGATGACTTTCTATGTGTTAGTGTGAGACATCTGGAAAAGGCAGATGGTGTTATCACAGAGCTGGGAAGGCTGGACAAGGATCAGATTCAGGAGCAGGGGGGTTGGGTTCTAGGGCTCTGTTTTGGATGTGTTGGGGCTAAGATGCCACTAAAGAGTGCCAGGTAGGCAGCCGTTCTGGGGCATGGGGCAACACACACAGGGAACAACCCCCAGGATATACTCTGCCTTCAACAGGTCGTAGTAATTCCTCCTTTTCTCTTGCCAACACAAAGGAATGTTTTATTATATGCTTGGATTTTTAAGCGACCTCAATGCTATGATCTGGGGCACTGACTGATTTAAGAACTGATACTGAGAATCCCAAGAGAAACAAGCAATGAACCCTGAGATATCACAACATAAAACTCATTCAAAATGTTTAAGTCTAACCCATTTTCTATCTGAGTCCTATCGATCCCAAGGAAAAGCCCATATTTCTCTCTAACAAGGTGGCAGTCATAAAATAATAAAAGTCTCCCATTTCATGAAATAATTTCCCATTATTATTTGATTTAGTAAACTTTGTCTTCTAAAGAAATTAATATTATCCATGCTGAGCGGATTTCTGTGTGTATAGAGTACATGCCAAGTTAAAGACCACCTCAGGCACACTTTGAGATTCTCTGTAAGAGTTTTAAACAGTTCTTTCCCGATAAACATTCAAAAGGACCAATTTGTACAAAAGTCTTTCAAAACACTTTTTACTACCATTATTTTCATCCACAGGTCATAGAGCTCTTTACACAGTCAGCAGTATTCCTCCTTGGCTTCCACACTGCTTTGTGCAATCCTTTTATTTAATCATTAATTCCCAAATTGGTCTTCACTACTGAGTGGATTTTAACAAGAGCTGGGCTTTAGCCACACTACAGTAGACGTGGTGGGGGTGGAGGGGAGCAGTGGCAACTGCAAAATCAAACCTACCATAAAGTGGTAACGGCTCATGATTGAGGCCAGTTGTTGAAAAATAAATGCCTGTTACCGAGAACCATAGAAATTGAGTTGGAGGCCAAGGCACGTCACTCATTGGTGGGCCGACAGCGCCTCTAGCGGCAGAAAGACCGCGGTGGCGGCGTCCAAGGGGAGCTTCCGAATTTTTAAAAAGGCACCTGCTGGGTGAATCCTCATTATGCAAAACAACGGCTCCACAGGTGCCCGGTTTTAAGGGGATGCGACGCGAGGACACCCGGAGCTATACAACAGCTAGAATAGCTACACTGCAGTTTAACTTCGAAATGAGTTGTCACTTTACACAGGTTAAGGATTATTGATAACCCAGAAAGCACGAAGTGGCGGGAGGCGGAAAAAGTCTGCTAAAGTTTGGCCGCCACCAACTCGGGAGCGATCCGGATTAAAAAAAAATTTTTTTTGGAAAGAAAACTACAGAAGTAGGTGAAGTCAATTTTTTTAAAAAAGGAGACGGCTGTGGACCGCGGCAGGCTCACCTGCGGAGAGGGGGGTGGCTCACCTGTGCGGTTACTGCGCCTCCCCCCACGCTTGGGGGGGGGGGGGGCTGGGCTACACAGGTAGGGCTGACCCAGAACCTGGGGGGTGGGGAGCGGATTCGCTCAGGGAGAGGGTCAGTAAGAGGCCCCGATGCCCCCCATCCCCAGCGACACGTGTAACTGTCAAGACACACACACCTTGGCAGATGACACCCGAATGGGGAGGGTGGGGAGCGGGGAGCGGCCCCGAGGCTGTGCCGTCCGGGCTTCGCGCCGGCGTCTTCTGGGCCCCAGCCAAGTGCTCCCTCCGCACCCCAGTCCCCCGGGAATTGGCACCTCGGGCGGTGGGGCGGGGGGCTCCCCCACGCGCGAGGAGTCGGAGCCCCGGGGGCTCCGCAGAAGCGCCCCCGCGCGCCGCCCCGTCTCCAGGCGTCCCCTCCCCCCCACACACACACCCCCGGGTGCGGCGCGAGGTGCCCCCGGGGCAGGGGGCGACCCCAGCCCGCGGAGGGCCCGGGGCGGCGGGCGGGAGAGGAGGGCCGGGGCCCGGCAGGGAGCCCTCGCCCCGGCTCGGCGACTTACCTCGGGCCGCGGGGGGCGCCAGCAGAGCCCCAGCCAGGGCGAGCAGGAGGGCGCGGGCGGGGGGCGCGGGCGGCGGGCGCGCTGCCATGGTCGCCGGCCTTCGGTGCGGCAGCTCTCGGGCCCGGCGGCGAGCGCTGCACCATCCCACGCGGGCGCCGAGCGGGGCCGGGCGGCGCGACCCGAGGGACTTCCTGCCGCGGGGACTCAGCTCCGGGGCCCTCGCGCAGCGCCCGCGCCGCCGAGGAGCTGGTCTAGGCTTTCATTTTTTTTTTTTTTTTTTTAAAGTTCCCCCCCACCCCCGGTGTGTGCGTGTGTGCGCGCGCGCGCTGTTGTGGCACGAGCCAGCCTTGACCGTTGCAGGGAGTGAGTGAGCAAACTGTCCGAGTTGGCCCGGGGACGAGGAAGAGCGTTAGTGAGCGAAGGCAGGCCTGTGAAATGGATCCACAGCCAACAGTCACCGTTCTCATTACCTCGGAACAAATTACCGTCTCCCCCGCACCCCCGCCCGCCTGCGGCGTCCCGCGGGTCCTAGAGACCGCTCACCCCTCCCCGCCCCCCCCACGCCGGGGTCCCGCCCAGAGCCGGCGCTCGCCCACCCCCGGGGGCGGCTCGGTGCCGGGCGCCTCGCGGGCCGCCGCGCGCCCGGGCGGCACAGACGTGGCTCGGCGGCGGCGCGGGCGCCCGGAGCGCACACACCCCCGCCCCGGGATGATGTGGCCGCGGGGCCCCGGGCGCCCGGCTGCCAGGAGCACACGCGGCTGCACGGTCCAGCTTTCCAGTCTGAGGCTGGAAACGATGACTCGGCCGCTCGCTCCGCGGCTCGCCGGGAACCCGCGGACCGCGGGCAGCCGGGCTGGAAGGCCGTCCCGCGCCCGGACGGGCGTCCCCGGGCCTGGGAAAATCATCTTGGACTCGCGGGCGCGCGACGTCTGGGCGTTACGCTTCTGGCGTGTTGCTTTAGGGTTTCCGTTGACACAGGTTGGCTCCCGTGTCTTTTCCTATGGCATGGACCCAGAAGAGGGTGTACCGTGTCGTTTCCCAACCTCGTCTGGTCGTGAGAAGCTTCTGGGTCTGTCTGCTAGGAATACGGATTCCCCGGCGCCCTTCCACGCCTTTGGCACGAGACTCTCCTGGCCAGGGAGCCGCCTGGCGCCCGCGTGCAAAACACCAGTGAAGTCAATGGAGGGCCTTCCTTGCCTTGAGTCCTAGTTCTTGGCGGCCTCACCCCTTCCGCCAGAGAGCCTCACAGAGCCCTGATGTCCCTTTTGGTGACCTGGCTTGTTGCCCTCTCAGAGCCGGTGGGGATCACCCGGTAGTGAGCTACACTCGCTGAAGGAGCTGGGTGTGTCCTGTCCTGTGTTCTGTCCTGTGACTCCCCACCGGTTCCTGACGGATCCCTGTTCTCAGAGGTGGTTAGCCCTTGTTAGAGGAAGCTCCCTTTTACCCTCTTTTGCTAAGGGAAAAGACGCTAACGGGGGGTTCGCAATGTTCTCAAAAACCAGGTCAGTCATCTCAAGTAAGTACAGGCCCTTTTTAAAAAAAAAAGAAACCGAGAGCGAGACGCAGCGGCCAAAGTGCCCTCTTCTCTGGGCCAGGTTATCTGAACATTCTATCTGGAAACAAGGCCCGGGTAGAAGCCCCAGTTTAAATCCGGCTCCAGTTACTACCTACCCCTCTGCAGAACCTCTCTCTGTTCGTTCATTCCCTCAAAAAGCAATTAGCAACGCTACGTTAGGGACTTGGGAAACCAAACTAATGAGAAATGCCTTTTTGCCTTCAAACACTTTTCCGACTGGTAGGAAAAAACGGATAAATCGGGACTATTGAACAGCGAGATTGGTTACCTAACCCATTTTAATAATCACTCGGTCATTTGTTAACTACTCCGTTATTAACCAGTAGAAACCCACTTCACGTGATCCCTGCATTGTGCTAAAGTTCTGAATATATGGCGGAGGAAACTGTCCCGTATAAAGGTTAAGTGGCTTCCCCATGGTCACAGGGCAAGAAGTAGGTCAGAGCCCACACCAGATATGTCTGCAAACATAGCCAGTGTCTTTAACTCTGACTTAGAAGCTTTGGGCTCAGCATCTGTTAAGTGAAAGTAAAGTACAAATCTCCCAGGTGGTAGCGAGCACTAAATAAGCTAATACAGGGAGTGCCTCCCTAACCCACGGGATTCCTGGTGTTTGTCAAGATGTCAAATCCCCGCCGTATTTGCACTGGACATCGTGATTTGGAAGGTCTGGGAAGTTTTTGCAAGTACTCAAGTGGTTCTGAGTTCCCAGAACTTTCAGAAACGCTGTGTAAGAGAATTAACAACTGATTCCTTTGAAGTCAGTAGGACAGCCTAGTTTTAGGATGAATCTAGCTGCTGGCCTCTCGAATCTTTCTGACTGGGAAAATTTTTATTAACAATGGACCTCATGTGTGCTCTGCACTGGGCTAGGGGCTTTTTTCTCTTCTAATGATTCATTTCTTTTTGTTCTTTTATATTCAGCTGTTACTCTTGACTGTAGAAAACCCGTGTGTGTGTGTGTGTGTGTGTTTGTGTGTGTTTTAAACCTGGAAGTTGCAAAGCTCTTTCCAAAGGGCTAAATGTATCCCGAGACTGTCTTTGATTTGTTTTCGACTGAATGAAAGAAAACAGCCAATGCAGGGGAAAAGAACAGGAAGGAAAATCCTAGCCACAGCCCTGGTTTCTTAACCATTCAATTTCCCATGTCGGTGAAGCAAGGAGTCTGGACTGACATTCCGTCCATGAAGACTCCATGCCCATCCACAGCAGCCAGCTAGGCAGACAGAATCTTATGTCCAGCAGACGGTCGGCCGTTGGATGGGAACTCTGCCTCCTCATCCACAGGAAATGGAAGCCGACGTGGCATCCAGCACTGGATGGTGAGGTCATGGTCTCAGGGTCAGAGGCCAGGATCTGCTCATTAAAATTTCAGATAGATGGCTGTTGTCCTTTCCTTTCCAGAAGAACTGACCTTTGCAATACCGCTTCCTGTGTGCTATTTTTGTTTAACAGCCTGGGCATTCATGAACAGGGTACTGCTTCCTCACCCAAGCTCACATTTAGTTCAGTCCACTCTGAGCACCAGCCGATGAGAAATGGAGGCGGGTTTTCCGAAGCCGGGATTTTGCAGGTCGCCACTCCGACTTCCGCAGATGGTTAGCTTCCTCGCAGCTCAGCCTAGTGAAGGAGCTTCAGACGCAGGCTTACAAAACAGCTTTTATCTATCCGAGCACAGCTCCCAAGGCTTGCTGCAAAAGTAAACACACACCATCACCCCACGATTAAGATTCTTGGAAATCTTTTTAATTCCATCTCTTGGGGGGCTTGAAACTCATGACCCTCTCAGTCTGTGATAACGTGGAGTCTGTTTTCTTTCCACAGGCCTTGCTTCGAGAGCCCGTGCCCCACCTCAAGAGGCTATTCCAGTTCTCACTCAAGAGCACCGAACAAAGAATGCTTTGGGGGGGGGGGGGGATCAGGGACTCTAGAGGGCTCTGGGTCAGAAGGGACATGAAACGTCATTTGGGCCAGCTCCTTCTACACCCATCGATATTCATCTGTGGCGCCCAATCGACCTTCCACTACTTCCTTGTATACCTACTGTGATGGGGAGCTCATTACTCGTTACTCAAGAGAGCCCATGTTTAAGCACCTCAAATGGCTGACAATATCCAGGAAGAACAGAGAGCCACCCAATGGCCAGAATGCCAGGTGCTGAGACACCCCCTCACCTCCCACCGCTGTCCTTTTCCACCATCACTGGGCCAGGCTGAATAAAAAGACAGGATTCAACAAAAGGCAAAAGGGAATCTCAAAAACAACACAAACTTGCCAGAACAACCAAATATTTGAAGGTCCTCCTTCATTCAAGAAATAAAGCTTAATCTGCTTCCCTTTTCGTGTGGGCTGGGCTTGGAGGTTCGTTCTAATGAATAAAATATGGCCCAAGCGACCATGCGTGAGCTCTGAGACTAAATCATGAAAGGCAGGAGTGACTCCGGTCACTCACTCTGAAGCATACCAGCTGTCACCAGGACATTCTAGCAGTCCAATGGGGAAGAACTGAGGCAGGAAACGGAGGCCTCCCGCCATCAGCCACGTGCGTGAGCCGTCACGGAAGCCATCTCCCAGCCCAAAGTTTCCAATGATGGTAGGCTCAGGGCAGTTTCTGAGAGGCCCCATGGCCAACCCGTCCAGTGAGGCTGTTTCCAATTTCCTAAGCCACAGACACTGCATGAGATAATGAATGTTTATTATTTTGAGCCACTTATTTGAGGGGTGATTTGCTAAGCAGCAATAGCTAGTCCACATTTAACAAAGCAAACATTCCATTTCTACTAGAAAGTTTGTGAGGATTTTACTATCAAGGGCACCTCCCTCGTTTGGCCTTTGAGTACAGGTTCTAGACGGATGGCCATAGGCCTCAGCTACGTAGCAACATAATTGTCAACAGTACCCTCCATATACTGTCACAGGCCACCCGGTTTGCGAACAAATTGTCCTGTTACCCTATCTGCAGATTAACAGGTCTTTTATGTGGTGTGTGGGGGTGGGGGGTGGAGAGCACACAAGCTTGGTTCTACACCTTGACTCCATTCCTTCTACGAAGAACGGTTGAACGTGTGACTGAAGTCACAGTGATGGACGGGATACCTACCAGGACAGCCACAACCAGCAAAGCCAACTGACCGTCCAGGGGCATGGAGTCTCATGAGCTCCTCTGAGTATTTTCACCGCATGGCTAGCCCGTCCCGCGGAGATCTGATCTAAACAGCCGCCTCCGGAAGTTGTGATACAGTTCTTACCAGTCACCTAAGAACCTGCAGGCGTTTGCTGTCGACTGTGTCTGGAACACCATCAACGAGAAAAGGAGATTCAAAGGTCACGCTGGCTCTTGGATGGAGGGGCCCACCGGGAGAGCAAAGATGCTCCCACCGGTCAAGGCCGGCCATGCCCTTGGCAGGTTTCTGCTCTGGAAAGACTCATGGCTTCCTGGAAGCCAGGCGAGCTGGGATTGCTGGGGCCTCTGGGGACACACCAGGCCCTCCGCATCCAGTCTGGCTTAGTCCCCAGGAGGCTTCCGTCCAGGGAGGGCCCAGCCCTATTTTACAACAACCCCAGGGAAGGCCATTCCAAGATGTGCATATGTTTATGAAACTCCTTCTTTACCTAATCTCTCTTGTGGCAAATTAGGCCATTTGCCTCTTATGCTGTGCTCTTGAACTTGGAAAATTACTGGACACCGCCCCCTCCGCCATGTATTGGAATACAGTCCCCATTTCGTCTTTACTGTTTTAGTCAAATCAACCCCAATTTCTTTAACTCGCCCCCTGGGTCCTATTCTTGCTCTCTTTAATCATGTTTTTTGCTCTGCTTTGGATCCTTTCCAGTTTCCTGATTTCTCTTAAACTATGGAGGCAAAATGTGGCCGTGATGCTTCAAGACTGTTCTGCGTGAGGCCACGGGCCACAGAGGCTGGCTTATTGTATCGGCTTTATTGGTGGCGGGATCTCTCTAACTCCTCTTCAGAGCCGGACTATTTTCTACTTTGGAACATAGTGAGGAACAATTCGAACAATTCCGGGTAGGACGGGGGAGTCCGGCCCTCCATCACATCCACTGCGCGGCCTTGATCGTGGCACGTGCAGCCCTCCTTTTCACTGTATCTCTTTCAGCCCGCTTGCTTGGTCTCAGTTTTCCATGATTCTTTGATGGACACTTCTATGCGGGCCTCCTTTCTCCCATTAACCACTCCTCTGGGACTCATGCAGAAAAGCCAACTCAGATTTCTAGGGGCCTGGGGTCCTTTGTTCTTCCTCCTGCACTAAGCTCTTGTCTAGGATCTGATGGAGCTTTACTTTTGTAGCAGTTACCAAGCAGCACTGGACATCTGTCATTACCACCATGTCCTGGCCCAGGAGCGGCCAGCCCCGCTGCCCCAAGCCCACCAACCTAGTAGGTATCAGTGGGAAAGTGCGCCCCGGCCTTCCTCGGAATAAACACTCCCAGGGTCCCTTTTCCTCAGTGGGAATATTGCCCAGGAGTCTTAGGCAATATTCCCAACAGGGTATTCAGCTGTCTTTGTCCTCAGCTGAGCTGAAGAATAAACAGAAGTTAAGCACAGACACCCAGAGCTCCTTTCGTGCCCTGTGCTGGAGGTG